AAATGACTAACATAATTCCTCCTCGTTTTTGCTTGAAATTTGCTCCCAACGAAATTTACAGGCGATTCCTTGAATCTCCATCAATCACGTTATTTTCCAGAACAGGCTTTTTATAGCGTCGAGTGATATTTGCTAGGAATATACAGATCGATATAAACGCTTTCATAAAAATACTACGGACTCGTGTTCCGCCCGAGGTTCATCACGAGCGATTTGTTTCGGGCCAAATATTCATTTCGCGAGCAATATGAGCCGCTATCGACGCGTTAACGCCCATTTCGAAATTGTTCACGTGTTTACAGGGATTCCTTAATCTGCTGTCCCGGAAAAAAAATTCTTGATCCGTATTCAAAGTCGAACGATCGCGTTCTCGTCGATGTTCGATGAGCACGCGTCGTTATTTGGCAGAAGATTAATCGATATTCGATCCGACTTTTTTAAATTGTGTATTTTAATCTGCTGGAGCGGAATCGAGATTTAAGATAGAACACTCGAGTGAGTTTTTGCAGCTGCATGCGACATCGATGGGATCGATACGCCTGTCTTCCAGGATAAGAATGGTGCAGTTTTCTATTATGCACCATTAAAGACAGAATTTAGAACGTTCGATAGCGATGCGAGGATATTTTTAGAATATTTTGATATTAATAAACGTTATTCGAGGGTATCCGTTAGGATTCACTTGATTGAGATTCAATAATAATTGTTGAATATAATAATTTTGTACTGCAGCTTTATCAAAAGTTAAAACGATTTTCTCCGCAATTCCAACTTCAAAGATAAAGTATTAAACGAATGAGAATACGAGAGAAATTCTGTACGTGGTATACTTTTGATATAAGAAATATTTACCTACTTCCTATCTTTGTCATGATATTCTTTGAGAAAAGTCATATAAACTAATCTAAGAGAATTTCATACCCAACAATTTTAATACATGGAATAGTCCAAAGGTTTCAAACAAGCCCCACGTGTGCACAATTGTACTAAATGTAAGAAAAATTTGTTCTACGACGGATCGATACGCGTATGAATGAACCATGTTTCAACTCTTGGAATTCGTCGTTGTAATAATTCACCACGCGATAAGTCAAAATTTGTACATGCCCCTTGAATTATACACCGATCTACCAAGCACATAGTTTACCTTCTTAATCACGCGATTTCTTTTACGACCATTTTAGTCGGGATCCATTCAATTCACATTTAATTGAGCTCCATAATACTGTCGACGTCAGCTACGGAACGTTCGTTTACCAAGAACAAATATTTACTAAACGTCGACGTACTTTCATCCCTGTTCCGGTTGCGTCGTCGTCTGACGTACCTTCTTATCCACCCTCATATCAAGAATTCTTTCAACAGCAGTTGAAACGGATAAAGTGTAGACATACAACTGTAATGACAAACGTTGTCTCAGCGACTGATGCTTGTTTTAGCAATTCGTAACAACTGACTCTATTTTTCCCTTTATCCTTTTCTTTATTCAGTCAACTTACCTTTGTCTCTTTAACTACCCTACTCTTCCCAATCTCGAAACTGAAAGATTGTAAAACGATATCTTCAACAAAAACTCACCATTAAGAGGGTCCTTTATTTATTCACCACAATGGATGCAGACACTTCATACTGTAATCTTGAGTTTCAAATATTCTATTTCGAGTTTAGACTGGCGTCGCCCTGTTAGAATCACCTAAACAAACGGTTCCTCTAACCCCGTTCAGATTACTTACAATAAACAAGCTTACAAGCTTTCAGCTCTTCACAAACCAGTCTGAGTCGATCCATTAAAAAAATTAAAAGAAAACCACGAATACCACTCTCTCCATTAAATCTCTTCACTACAAATGGTTCGCAATATGCAACAAGTGTTCAGACAGTCGACTGACAGGTAAATCATTCATTGGTATCATCCTTGAATCTCCATACCCTGTTGCTCGTGGACTGTCTTCATCCTTAATTCGCATATATATCGAGCATGTTCGCACACGTAACATCTAAATCACAATGTCTCTAATTGTAAGAAGATCGATCATTACTGATCAGCAGATCGAGCTGTTTAACAGCGTTGCTCATCAGTGGTAACGACAGTGTTGGTTTGCGGTTGACTGGCCTCTGGGTCGTTCCTCTCGTAACAAGTCTCCTTGTGCCTATCCGCATTGGCGGCTGGCTCGATCGCCATTTGGGGTTTTCCTCGAAGGCTGCGCAGCATGTAGCAAAGTTTATGAGGACTATGCTTGCTGTAGAAGCTGTCATAGCCGCTGCTCAATGTGACTGTGCGTCGGAGGGCTACAACCGCGTGGTGACCACCTATCGGCAAGCCGCATCCGCATCCGGCCAGCATTCTTCGTTTGCGCAACAACCCTCGTTTCATTGAACCGCCGCCAGTACTGCATCCTGCGCACACGTCATCGATCACCGCGGTTCCTTGAGCACTCTGAAACAGCACGACAGAACCACCAGTGGTGTAGGACATCGAACAACTTTTGAAGTTATTGTGTTCCCTTTTACTGACAGAAGCCAGGTTTATAGTTGGAACAACAATGACGAAGGATTATTAAAGCGATTCTAGTGGGTTATTTCATGTTGTAAGTGCAAGGATATTTTATTGAGGACAATTGACCACTCCATTGAATTAAAAGAGTACAGGCCACGAGAGACCTTTATTTTTTCTCAACTAAAGAGCTACCGATATTCAGCTCCTACTTTTTCCCCCTTCAGTCTGTCACGCTGTCCGCTTTGATCGGCGTTTCCTTAATTGCGCCCGCGTCAGGTGTCACGAGAGAACTACTCTGTGGACCCAAAACGTTGCTTTTTCTCGCGGAGTCCGGTGTATTTAGCCTTTAAAAGCTGTCATCGGAGGAATGCAGGTTAATGCTATGGTTGTTACGTTTGCAGTAAAGGACGAGAAAGAATTGATTTATTTTGTAATAACGTTATTACTACTTATTATCTAAATAAACTCAAAACAGTAACATCATTAGTCAACATGTTTTTTAATAATAGTAAAACAAAATTGGCATGAGGTGATTTATGACAGCCCTGATCTGTCACATGCTGAACTTTTTCATCTTAATATCTATCTATGGTGCATGTACTGAATAAAAATTATATCATTGTAATATTTTAATATAAATATGAAGCTGTATCATAGAGGTCATGGGTGAACTTCTGGGTGATGTTTCCTTAACCTATCTTAACCCAAATTATTGAAGACATCAATAAGGGAGTCGAATTAAAGATTTATAGGATCTCGAATTTTATTGCCTATGAAATCCTTGAAAATATTTACTTTTCGAAAGTTAACCCATTAAACACGAATTACGCAGTAGATGTATAATGCAGTACCTAGCCAAAAGACGAATCATACAGTGTGCGTGTAATTATTGTGAATTGCTATTGCCAGTTAGTAGTGAGAAACTAACTTACCTTACTAATACCTTACCTTAGTAATAAAAAGTAAAACTTGTATCGGTTTCAAGCAAAGATTTTAAAAAGAGTAACCCACAATGAAGATCGTATGTACAATAAAAAATAAAGTTGTAATAAAAATGCAATTAATATTCATGGTCACCAGTAATACGCGTCAATGAATACCTTAAACTATTAACACGTTGATAACCAGAAGAATTTTGAGCATTTTATATAGTATACCTTATTTTTCATAACAAATACAAATAGTATTAAAATCGATTGTTTGTTTTAATATTATAACTTTTAAATTATATCACAAGTTGCGAGCAATTAAAAAGAAAGATTATTAGTAGCCCTTCATACATTAAAACAACAGAATACGTTAGAAAGCGTTCATAGAAATTTAATTAGAAGAGCAGAATTATGTATTCGGCAGAATGAGCAACATTTTCAGCAATTTCTGTAATAATAAACATTATGATTACTTCAATGTCCTATTTCATTGCATGTTCTTAATTTTCCGGTACGATAAAAACAAATTTAAACTGCGATAATGATCCACCGAGACAATGATCTACAGTGACATCCGTTATAACGAGACATGATCAAGTGTTTGTTTTCTCGAAAACAAAGCCTCACATGAAAAAATTCTTATTCTATATTTTCGATTTATTTTTTCATGTATAATCATTTTCTTTTCGCTTGTACCACTAGTTACCGAACACCCTGTATTAGAAACTAGCTGGCATCGGCTTTCTTTTTGAAATCGTTTCCAAGCAATGTGGAAGCTCCAACCATCGGTATTCATCGATCAACGTGTTAAAGTTAGTGTATTAAAACATTGCACAACCCACAAACGGGACGCGGAAGAAACGTTATTCATACGAGTCCAGAGAAATTTAGTAGTTGGCATCAACTGCCGAACGGTGCAACCGACATTTGTTTTCCCACCGGCGAGAGCAACGATTTTACTATCGCGCACCAGCTAATTCGGTCGCCGTGAACATGACCGTGAAATCGGTTGCGCAACGTGTGTCACGCACCAGCTATAATTTTGCGTGTACGTGCGCGCGAAATTCATATCGGGGATTTTAATGAAATCGCTAAACTCGATTCAAGAGACGCTCGTAAATTCCTGTTCACGCCGCCGTCATATAGCCTTCGATTTGCACGGCATTCGAATTGTACGACTTCGGTTTAATACGGTTGAAGAAGAGTGGAAAAGCTTCCACTTACACGACACTTGAATTTTGTTTTAACGCGGTAAGGTCAGACAAATGCAAAAATTACATTAATTTTTGTTTGTTTGCGAATTAGGTACATATGCAATTTTGTTGAATTAATCAGTTAACTGCTTTCGACGAGTATACACGTCATCTTAAAATCAAAATGATAATAATTCTTTCAACGATAAATTATTTATTTTTTCAGACAAACATGTAATTCTTCGTTTTGCTTTAGTTTTCGGTTAGAATATATTATAGCTGCATTTACCTTGCGTTAGACGAGCATACAATTCATTATTTGATTTCTTTGCGTGCATTATCAGACATTTTTTTAATTAAATTCCAGTTAACAGGTTCATGATTTTTATTTAAAAGTATGTATATAATTTTTTATTTTATAAAATAATAAATACTATTGTTTGTATTATATGCTGTATTTCTGTTCAATATGAACTTCGAACCCGAATTGCACGGTTTCAATTTACACAGCATTTTCGGGGAACCAATCTACCATATAAATCGAAGGCTAGGTGTAAATTCCAAGAGCGGTCGAGACGGGTAGAATGGTTTCTTGTGTTTTCGAGAATCGTAACGATGACGCCGATAAATACTTACTCTGCGCGTTCATTTCCCGCCCTTCATCACGCGCATCGGCGGAGACGTTAAGCTCACATGCCACGGCGCATCAAAGAGTCCGCGAGTTATCACGCGACGGATTAAACGTGGAACATCCCGGGATATTTTAGCATACGTCGAACGCTGGTGAGCGAAAAGGGAAAAAAGGAAGATGACGTACGCGTGCGCGATGTCGACGGGATTTTAATATCTGTCCGCTGTTCGTTACCCAACGGAACGTATCTTGTCATTCATAGACGCGGATTATAGCGAGTCACGTGTGTATTGGGGTCGAACCCTTGCACGTGTTTCAGTGAGTGATGTATCGACGTGACTCTTTAAACTCTTCTATTCGACGATTATACTGGAGAACGCTTAACAACGATACACGCGTAGCAGGATACGGCATTTGAATACGCGAATACAGTAATTGCTCTTTTCTACGATTATGTTTGCAAAACTTGCGTTGACGTGGGTTGAACTCTTTCTTCTGTTTTTGCATTATTCTGACCTACGGTGGATTTTTTAACAGTTTTCCATAACTCTAGTGGACACCGAATGCACATTCTTGATGAAATACCTACTTGTCGAGAATGAGGGACTTTAGTATATCGGAACCTTTTGCATTTGAAATAATAGGGTGATAAATGTTCAAACAATGGAATTTCGGCGTAGGGAATAATCTTTCTCGATACTGAAGTCCATTTATTTAACACTAAAACTACCGAGCAGTTCAGTTGACTTTTTAAAATTCTTCTATGGAAACTCCAAGAATGCATTTATTGAAACTGTAACTAATTTACAATTAAATTTGCGTATTGCTAAAGCAATTTCTTTAATCATTTTTCAGAAAAACATTTGTTATATTTTTAATAATTGCAAAAAGAAGAAATCAGGAATGGATCATTTTGACCTATTTGGCAGTTTTAGTGGTAAATTAAAATCTAGGAAATTGATTGTTTATGTTCCTAAGTATTTTTTTGCAAAAGCCTCTGTTATAGTAAACTGTAAACTAACTAAAACGATGCAAAATATGCATGACCCAGTACAAACTTACAAAAACAGATCTACATGATACCACGCTAACTAAAAACTCGCAGATCAATCTTAACTTGCTTAAGTAAATTCGTTAGATGATCATGGTTAGCCACCAAAGCTGACTAAATTAAAGAAATAACATGATAAATGGAGTTCCCTATATTTCTTGATTAAATAAAAACCGCATGGCTGAAGAAAAATGATGTACACAAAGTTCGCGAAATGGGATGGAGGGATAGGGTGGTTAATATTGGATAAAATCACCATGGAACATACAAGCAAAATGGGAAATATATGTGTTTATTTGTGTTTCAAAATATTTGCATGCAAAAGGCTCTATTACAGTCAACTAACTAAAACAATGCAAAATATCCATGACTCAGTACAAATTTATAAAAACTTAACTTAATAAAGTAAATGTATTAGATGATCATAGTTACCCACCGAAATTGACTAAATCAAGATAATAACTTAATAAACAGGGCTCGCTGTATTTCTTGATTAAATAAAAACCACGCGGCTGTAGAAAAATGGCGTGCGTAGGGTCCGCGAAATGGGATGAAGGGATGGGGTGGTTAATATTAGGTAGAATCACGGAACATCATCAAATCTTTCCCGACGCTCAGAGGTCTCGCGTTTACCTTGTTTCCTTGTTGGTCGGCAACCGTCGAGAAAGAAAGCCTTCCTCGGAATTATTATACATGCATAGGATCCACACACGGACTCGCACTGCCGACACTTACTCTGCGACGTGGTTTCCGGTGCGCCAGCCCGTGAGGACCGCAGCGGAGGATCTCAGCGACACTGCGCCGGAACGTGCGAGTCATGAAGCAATAGACCACCGGGTTCAGGGCGCTATTCGCGTGTCCCAGGAACAGGCAATAGGAACGGGCGTCTCTGGTCGCTTTTCCTTCCCCTGCGAACAATTTTCGGGACTTCGTTACCCGCAAACTTTCCAGACATCCGACCATCGGCACAATGGGAATAGGCGATCTCCTGCTCCCCTTTCGGTTTGGTAATTCGCCGCAAAAATGAAATAGTCGAAGTTAACGTCGTCTGGGTACTTTTATGATACACCTCCCTCGGCGCTGTCGCGCCGGGACACGATCATATTATTAAATTATCGAAGTACGTGGGTTTTCACGCGTTACGAGAGGCTTTCGGAAGTACATGGGAATTCAATTAAAAGGCGCGTGACGACTGCCGCCGCTTTCATCAATGGTCAACCACTCACCGACTACACCCAGGTCGATCAGAAGCATTAGGACGTTGTACGGCAGCCAGCACAACGCGAACAGCACCGCCAGAAGGAGCAATATCCAAGCAATTCGCCTTCTCTCACGTACCAGTCGGAACGTCTGCGGACAGAATGCAGTTACGCACCGTTGTAAACGCGGCCGGATTTAGATGGAGATCAGAGGCATTCGTTTGTCTAATCCGTGTCAGCGTAAGCCGCTCCGTTTGAGGAATATCAGCGTGATCCCGGGAAACAGGAAACCGCGAGATGAAAATTTATCGTGCAGTTCATTGAATGAAAGCAGAACCTTTGCGCTGGTTCTGCGCCGTTGTTTGCGAACAGTTCGCAGAATGCTATACGTTGATCGGGAACTGGCATCCGGTATGCTGCAGGGGCAAAAGGAGTTTTTTGTCTTTTACTGAGTGGTTTGTTTATGGTATTGATTGACTATCGTGTAACTGTATTGATGAATAATATACTAATCATTTGCACTCCAGAAATTTGTACACTAGAGATACCCAGCATTTTCTGATGAGATATAGACGATATTCTTTTAAACTCAACAAGAAAGTAAATTTATTAACACAGATTAAGACGTTCGCGACTAGCGTCATACATTTGTAATGCACAACATTTTGTATCTTGTGTAAAGAATATTTTGTATGTAAAATTGTTACACATGGTATAAGATGTAGGTAGTTGACGCGATTTTTTTCTTGAACTATATTTATATTTTATAAAGAGGATTTGCTGGGTTTAATAAAATATTGTAGCTATGAAGGTTGCTACTGAAACAAACGCTGGTCGCGAACATGCTAACCTTTTGAGTGCCGTGGGCGCATATATGCGCCCGACGAAAGTCATCACTATGTACTATGGGCGCACATGTGCGTCTTTTGATCTTTTTAATCTTACACGTAGCGTAATAATAATTATAAGTATATGAGATTAATACGTTTCTTAGCATTATTCAACTTAGTAAAACTGAGAAATTATGAATGCAATTTAATTAAAACTTAACACCTTTCATGCCACAGTGGTCCCATGGGACCGAACCTTCAAAATGACTTGAAAATAGTTCTAATTCATAAGATAACTAAGGTTAAATAAAAATGTTCGGTAGCTTAAAACGCTGATGTTTTTCGTGGCGGTCAACATGTTAATTACTTATATAAATTAATATGATTCATCGATCTTCAGATGAACAAAAAAATATTCCGTCCACACGGAACGTTTCGGCTGGGAGCATTCAGCACTCAAAGGATTGAAGAAGAAAACTGTTTTATTTCAATATTTCGTATATTGATACATTAGACAGAGCTTAATATTAAATATCAAATCTTGTAATTTGGTGTATCAAAGCAAGTAGCAACTGAGAGCCTCTTTGAAGTGCAAAGCATTAATACTTTAACTACCACCAAAATTTTGAAGGCATTATTTTCTATACAGATTTAAAAATTATTCTCTCGCTGATCGAAACAAATCGAATTTTGTTGGATCTTCATAATGCATGAAAGTTAAGAGAGCAATCGCTATGAAAATTCTCTACTTTTTGTTTATTGAGGAAATTGTTTCTACTGAATAAGATTTTGATGAGTACTGATTTGGCGATCAATGTGTTAACCTATTAACCGTGAATTGAAAAAATCTCTCGTACGCGCAATAAAAGCAAACAATGAAATACATACTCGTCAAACGCGGAGAAAATGTACCTGTCACATATTCTAACGAACAATTAAAGCTAAATGAAGAAGAATTAGATATTTCTTTGAACAATTAAATAATTGATAATTGAAAGAGTTGATATTATCTTGATTTCAAGATGATGTGTATACTCGTCAACCACAGTTAACTAATTAATACCGAAAATGAATGTGCCTGCGAGAAGGAACGTATTCTCTTCCACTCGACTAATTAGACCCGCATTCCTTTCCCGTGCCTTCTCTCTATCAACGCGTAATAAGTTCGCTGACGATGTGTACCTACATTTTTGCACGTATAGTGCAGAAAATTCATCATCGGATGCATCAAAAGATATGCTTTAAGGCACAAAGAGTGCGCGGATGCGTTTGTAACACGTTCTAACACATTTTTGGTGAATTTAACGATCACTTCCCAATTAAACTTCAGGCTGTATTCGATCTACGTCTAGTGAAAATCTATATCCATTAGAACAATCAAAAAACTGCAGCTGCCGCGAGCAACAGATCTTTTCTAGATATTTTTCCAAAGAGGTACACTGATCCGCAATAGTATTTAAAATTGACATACACATTTTTAATCGAAATCGATATTTCAGGCGCATGTTATTCGATTTCAGTTAACTCGTTAACTATGGAATTTAGTTTCAAAAATTTCTCATTATGCACGCAATAAAATCAAACAAAGAAGTGTATACTTGTCAAACGCAGGGTAAATGCAACTATAATATATTCCAACCAAAAACTAAAGCAAAACGAAGAAAAAATACATGTTTATTTGAAAAAATAAATAATTTATCATTGAAAGAATTAGTAATATTTCGAGTATTAAAATGGCATGTATACTCGTCAAACACAGTTATCTGTTTAATATACATTATTCTCACATATAGGCCAAGCATCATACATTTTCAAAATATCTTCTATTCGGTAAGTATAACATTTTCATATATGTCAATTTTAAATACTTTTGTGGACCAGTGTATTGTCCAGAGACAAAATCTGTTCATATGTCCTATAAACTGAAGGAGCAAGTGCGGCAAGAAGACACAGCCACTCGCGATGAACGTTGACGCTTCGTTTCGACCCTTTTTGTTATTGGCTGATTCGCGTAAACGAAGATCAGAAATTAAACTGAATACGACGACGTGAGATATAACGACAAGGAATAAATACGGGCGCCAACTCTTTATTCCTCTCTCACTTTGTCCTATTCAGTTTAGTTTGCGATTTCGTCAAACGCAGTTAACTGGTTAATTATTTGCAACCTACTCGCAAACTGTTCGCCAGCTCCGGTGTACACATAATGCTGTCTCTGTTCGTGAACACTTCTGTCCAGTGTCAACCCAGTATTAAACATAATTAAACGCGTGTACAGAAGGTAGGGTGAAAAGAAACTGAATAAGGGCGGTCGAAGAACTTTATCCTGATGGTGAATTATGAACTTCGCAGATAAGAGACGTTCCCTACGGAGCACACTAGCTATTTCTAGACGTTGTCCAGACTGCCGTTGAATGGGCTTTAATGAACTGGAGTTCGAGAATCGATTTGTGTCACGAACCAGCGATCTCTTAATTCGATCCGGTAAAACAGATCGAGTAATTTTTCTCAATTAAAAGGCTTCTTAGCACTAGAACTACCGCACCCTTCAGAATGACAGATCTCACTTTCCTTATTTTGTTTCACTTGAATACTATAATGAATATACGAAGAAACTGAACAAAATTTGTTGTTACAATTTTTATAAGGACTCGATATTAATCATATTTGTAGTATCCAGGATTTTTAGTATAGCTGAGGATATCTTTCACCTGTTAACTATGGAATTTAGTTTGAGAAATCTCTCGTTTTTCTCGCAATAAAATGAAAAAATGAAGTGTGTACTCGTGAAACGCAGGACGAATGCACCTAGAGTATATTTTTATGAAAAACTAAAATAATAAAAAAAAGAATTACATGTTTGTCTGAAAAAATAAATAATTCATCGTCGAAAGTATTAGTATAATTTCAAGGTTTTAGATGACGTGTATAATTGTCAAACGTAGTTAATTGGTTAGGAAGCGTGAATGCGAGAATGAATGTGAACGAAGGGCAATAAAAGAGGGAAGCCTAACGTCGAGGGAAGGTTGCCTACACAACGTCGCAGGTCCAAGGTTTCCAGTCCGGCTTTCAAAGGGCGTGTTTGTGGGTTTATGGAAAGTGCGAGTGAAAAGAATGATTATGGGGGAAAGAATGATTTTGGAGTGCGAATGTCCGAAAAAGAGTCTGTGTTTAAAGACACTCGTGCGTTGGCCTTCGTAGCAGTAATTGTGTGTTGTTTTAATTGTGTCGCTATTATATAGTTCCTTATATTTAACACATTGAGTGCCACAAGAATTTCGAGCGTTTTGTTATAGTAAGATTTATTCCTTTATAATAGAGGAATATACTATGAGAAATAATTATTAATGTTTTGGTATTACAGTACTCATTTTATATTATTATCTAGCTTCTTGTGTTACTAAATATTTTGATTCAATATTAATTTTCTTATTGTAATTGTTTTCAAGCAATTCGGAAGCTCCGTTCACCGATGACCACCGTGGCAGTCAACGTGTTAAACATTATTTATTTTATTATTAATGAACAAAGTTATCTATTAGAGTTTTCTATATTCCCGTATATTATTCCCGAACAAAATATATACACTATATATTACATCCTCGGTAGTTCTAGCACTCTCTAATCCCTTGCCGTATGATATATTTCGTAACTTTGATCGATACAACTGCTTTATCATTAATAATGCATTAGGAAAAGAAAAAATTCTGATGCTTATTCTATGCTTGCGTTTACTCCAAATGCTAACGATTGATAATAGAAAATTAATACTTAATTTAGATTTTAGAAAAATAAATAATGCTTAGATTCGTTAAATTCAGTTTAAAATTTTCATCTCGAGTTTGACACGATATTCTAGGTTAAGGGGCTAAAGGAGAAACCAAAGTGACGCTTCGGAGAAGTCGAAAATTCTTTTTTATTTTCGCATTTCTTTTATGCTTCGTTATGTCAGCAGCTGAATGTAATTCGAAAATATAAGGAGTTTCTATAATATTGATACGGATCGTGGAACGATTAAAACTAACCGGAAGCAATTCTTCGGAGCTCCGTTGTATTCTGCATTATTGTCCACCTTCCTAATCTTCCAATAAGTCATTCTGCGTCAGAAACTTGACTATGGTGTACGATGCATCAACTAATGTGTTGTGAATATCCACATCAGTTAAACTAAATTGTATAAAGGACTGTTAAATGAAGGATAACTAATAGTCAAATTAAGTGCTTATTATGGACTATCCATTCATGGAAATATTGATTAGATAGGTAATATGTACAAAAGTTATAGACTATATTATATCATTAGAGTTTTAACGAGAAATTGTTGAACCATCGTTGCCTGGAAAGCGTGTAATACTAATATGGAATTCAACGAAATTTTAAATAGTCGTAGATATAAAGCAAAATCATCGAACATTTTAGTTCAATTTACAAGGATTTAAGTGACAAAAAGCTTGTGAAAAGATGCTTCGTTGCTTTCATTTGGCGGTTTATTAATCTATAATCCGATTTTACTCCGAGTACACTGAATTACTACACGTAATGGAGATACTTGAAATAAAAATTAGACCATAGGTAGTAAAATATCGGGACAAATAAAATGCGTTTCATATTTCCACCGTTGAGTGAACATTTAAAACCTTAGAATAAATGTACTTTGTTGAATAAAATGTTATACATAAATTTATTAATTTGTTCCTTTGTAATGTAAAAGATAATGTCAATCTTTGTGACCTGACTTAAAATTTTCTCTTTTAAAGATCTACATTTTGTAATAAATCACTTCCTTATCGAATTCGTGAACACATTTAAAGCTATTATTTTAAGTTTTAAACAAGTTTCGTTGTAGTGTTAAAGATTCGGTTAATCATTATGCATACTTGGAAAAAGATTATTATGGCTACATACACCATCGACTATTGTAGTTACAAATATTAATATTCTTTCAATGAAACTGCGAGTAAAAATAATTTAAGAAATATTCTATTATATATTTTAAAAAGTAATTAATTATAAAATAAGTAATTATACGTTATATGTATAATTATAAATTACAAAGTAAGTAATTTACCTAGAAAGGAACTTTGGAAAGTTCCTTCTCTCATCGTCATCTTAGTTTCCCCTTAATTAATTGATTATCAAGAAAGGACTATATCCATGAAGTTAGTAGAGTTCAAACCAACCTGTTGCGAACTAGCATTTCCTTTAACGCTGTCGCAATCGAATGGGGGTTTTCGGGAGCACAGCGTTCGGCCCATCATGGAGTAAAACAAGATCACGACGAAACCTAAACAAAGGAAGTAACACGATCAGAAAATACTATAAGACAGAAAAGTAGATGATGATAAACATATTGCTGGTTTTTGAAGGTAACAATAATGAATTAAGTGCTGGCCACGATCGTAAGTTACGTGTACCGTACAAATTTAAGTTTGCGACATATATAAGTTTTTCTCTTATTTTTAAACAAATTGACTTTTCAAAGCTTTAATTTATTCTTAAACTAGTTAAGTTTTGAAAGCTTTTCAATTGTTTTTAATCTATTGTTATTTATAAGTTCTTTACTTGTTTTGGAACACATTTTTGATTCTTAAAAATTTTGTCTTTCTGTTGGAATAATTTAAAAGTTTTTCACTTGTGTCGGAAAGTTAGCTTTCGAAAGCTTTTTAATTGATTGTAACACGTAATTATTTGCAAGTTATTCACTTGTTTTTGAACATATTTTTGACTCTTGAATATTTTTCACTTGTTTTTTGAACCAATTGACTTTCGACGGTTTTCCGCTTGTTTACAAACTTGTTGATGTTTGAAAATTCCTGACTTGTCGGCGAACATGTTGAAATTTTAAAAGTTTACCGCTTGTTTATGAACATCCTGACTTTTGAAAGTTTTTCATAAGTTTGTCATTTTGTGATGTCAGGAAAAAGTGTAATGAAAAGAATAAGGAAAACGTATGTCTCAAGGCAAAATTATTAGACTACGGAGCTTTATGCAAAACCAGAATTTTCCTAAAGAAAGATAAGAAATTATATAACAATTTATTTCTTATTTTAAGGGTCTTAGTACTAAAATTACAAAACGAGTCAAAATGACATCCCTGATTTCTTTATTTTGCAATTGTTAAAAAGATTATAAATGTTCCTCTGAGAAATTATTACAGAAATTGATTCAGCAATACTCAAACTAAATTATAAACCCATTAAAGTCTCGATAGGCGCACTCCTGAAGTTTCTCTAGAAGAATTTCAGAAAGTCAATTTAACTGCTCGGTAGGTTTAGTATTAATAGACTGAAAATAAAATGATGGCATAAAACCCGCTGTCTACTTTATTAATTACACGAGCTTACCAGGAATGGCGTATACCAGCACGAAACAGACAGCTCCGAAAAGGTGTGGCCGAATGCCGAGAGGCTTGAAGTCTTCCGAACAAATGTAGTAAGCAGGTGGTAAATTCGAAACACGCGACGAGTTCTGCGACAAATTCCTCGTCAATGTCCAAGACCCGCGGAAAGTTATGTTGCCGTATTCTGTGCTGGGGCTGTGTAAGGTCATCTGGCAGAAAGATTGAACAACGTTCATCCGTCGATCTGTCTTTCGAAGAACGCAAATCCGCGGGAAAAGATTTATTTGTCGCGAAACTTTCTCCCGTGACACAGTCCTCCTTTTTCTCTTATCTTCTCAGTGCGCTACGCGTGGACATAAAGTGTTGGGATTATTGTCAGCCATTCACGGCAAAGAATACCGCCCAAGGAATAGTCCAGAACCAGGAACTTTGCAAGATTAAAAAAGAATTTCAATATCAGATATTTCAAAACTTTAAGGTTACTATGGCAAAATTCAAACCTATGGTAATTTAAAATTTTCTTTTTAGTTAAACGAACGATTTGTAATAATTTTGTTTGTAATAAGTAATAATCATCACAATATTATTTGAAATTGCCCTAAATAATAACTTTCTTATTGTGTATACAATATTTTATAATTTCCAATAATCTTCAGTAATCTTTAACAATCTTTAATAATCCTCAATAATTTTCAATAATATTCAATAATATTTAATAATATTCAATAATATTCAATAATATTCAATAATATTCGATAATATTCGATAATATTCGATAATATTCGATAATATTCAATAATATTCGATAATATTCAAAATATTTAATAATATTTAATAATATTTAATAATATTTAATAATATTTAATAATATTTAATAATAATCAATAATAATCAATAATATTATATGGAAAGCAATTTACTCACATTTGTTTTACTTATTTCATATTTGGGACAGAAAAATATATTTATACTAAAATTTTAGCCACGACAGTATTATCATTATTTTCTTTAATGGTAGCTTTTAAAAGCTAAGTAAACGCAATTCTGTGTAAAATTACTCCAACGATTTATCACACGTTCATTTTATCCTTAAAAAACGTGATAATAAAAAGACTGTATTTTCATGAAAATAGTGTATGAAAGTGACTAGAGCGGTTAACGAAACAGGAAAATAATATATAGGGAATTATAAGTCCGTTCCAAAATTGTCCGTAGTATGAATTTAACTACGATTCGATCAAAACATACAACAATCGATGGAAATGTTGTTTGCCAACTGCAGCAACGAATCCAGTGGAATTATTTTTTGCTAAATTAAAAGTAAAACACGGGACCCGTTATTTAACAATGACATCACAGCATGGACTCGTAATTTTATTTTCAGAAAGTATATCATGCAGAAATACATATTTTCACGAAAATAAGAAAAAAAAATTATTATAGTCAACAACGAAACAGGAATAATGTACGCGAGGTACTATTTTCTTTGTAAAAATACCCGCGCAAAAATATATCATAATTAGTCATGTTTCGATCAAAATAGAAAAATTAGATGACAGATTTACTAGTCTAAATCCAGCGAATCGCGCCACATCCTCGAGGGAAGAATGAATTGTGGACGAGGAATTTATTTTTCATCAAGACAACGATCCCACGCACGTATCCAACTTGCGTCAGGCGTATCTGGACTGAGACTTATAGGAGGCTGGCATTTCTTGTAAGAATGCTACGGCCTGACCTTAATTCAACCCATTCACGGAAAAAACACACAAAATTTCCCTTTAACACTAGAACTACCGTACCAGTCAAAGTGATTGGTTTCGATTTCTTTGTTTCGCAATTATTGATACCTTAAAAGCATTGAATATTCAGAATGATTTCAAAAACAAATAGTTTCACTGAAATTCTATAACGAATGTCTGAAGAAACTGAAAATAATCTATTCTTACAATTTTTATAGGGATTACATATCAATCGTATTAAATGCTCAGTAGTTCTAGTATTAACACGTTGACTACCACAAAAAACATCAGCGTTTTATGTATCACTTACCCCTTTATAGCAAAGATAAATAGGATTAGTTATTAATTATTTGCCACTGCAATTCTTACGTTACACTGCTATCTAGTTATTTGCGTTATTGAATATTTTTATTCGACGTCAGTTATCTTATAATTGTTTTCAAGTAATTTTAAAGCTCCAGTCACTAGTGACTACCGTGGCAGTCAACATGTTAATCTCGTGAAAAGGAAAATAATAGATAACCCGCGTAACGAGCGAAATACGGTTTTTCGTAAATTCGATGCCTCTTCTTCCAGTGTCTCGCTTGAATATTCATGAACAGTGTATGAACGCGCCGTGAACGTTTACCAGGGAAAATAAAAATACGAGCGTATAGTTGACCACAGTATTACATTAACCGCTAGATTTTATACTAACCACCCTCAAGACCGGCACAAAGATGATTAAAGCGACCAGCCAAACGGCCACGATAACGAGAACGGTGCTCCTGCGATTGAATACCTGTCGGAACGCTATAGGACTCCTTATCGCCAGGTACCTGTCGATGCTCATCGCGGTAATGGTGAAAACCGAGGCGGCGACAGCAACCCCTGCAAATGCTTTTGGTTATCGGTTGTGCCGTCGGGTGGCTTGATCCTTTTAAATCACGATCAGCTGTTTAGAATTTATTCAACCGGATTGAGCGGCAGTCGCACCAGCTTTTGGAAAACGGATAACTGGCGTAGCGGAGGAACGCAGGATCGTTTCAGATCACGGTAGAATTTCCATTCAGCGCAGATTTCAAGAGGGAATTGCGATTCAAGTTTCCTGCGCTCTTTAACCCATTTGCATTATTAGCATATATATACTCTCAATTCCCCTGGTCACTATCACTGGAGCATATATATACGTTCAACAGTATTTCACGTCTTCAAACAAAAATTAGCTGAAGAAATTATTGAACATAATATAAAAATACTAAATATACCAGAAAAATTACGAAGAGTTTATTTCAAAGGATAAGAAGAGAGACGATTTATCAGTGTGAAAATCTTGAAGTATCTTTATGAATTCAATATTTTAAATATTATCATACTGCGCAAGATAATTAATCAACATCAACACTACATCTTTGCAATTCATTCTTTCTTATGTAAGTTTTATTATATTTTATATTATTTTTTCTATTTCAGAATGCTGAAATATGAAGTTCTTTTTACTTTGAAGTAATTTTTCTATTTACGTGAAATTAAAAAGAAAATTGGTGATGAGGGCCTTCTTTTTCATACTTCATTATAATACAAATGGGTTGAGCTGTGATCTTGCGACTGCGTGGAATTACGTAAACGCGTAATCGCGTGAATAAATACACGAATAAGAACGGCGACCGGCATAACTGGATCGAAAAGGTCCTGCATTCGTTGCGCGAGGAAAGGATGAAAAAAAGGATAAAAAAAATAAACTGGAAACTGCAACGAAGATAGTGATTTCTCGGGAAAGAGCGTCGCGGCGACTCAGCGCGCGGAAACACCGATGTATGGTACATGCACTGACGCACGAGATTCCGCGAATCTTTTATGCATGAGCCAGAGTGACTCTGGCTCTTCTCTCCCTCTGCTTATCAAGGCGAGTTGTTAGAAGTCACTCGTCATACCACAGCATTTCGCGATTATATTTCTTTTATATTCGGCGGGCCACGTGTCTGCAGGGAAAAACGGAATATTTGACTGTTTCCCTGAGTAACCGCTTCACTCGATGATAAGACACACTAATGAGTAGCGATGAGATAGAGATTGGTGCATGCGTGTGGATAATAAATAGCGAAGGAACGCTACTTCCACGGCAAAATAAGATGTTCCTTATTATAATTTCTTCGTTTTAAATGGAGGTCAATACTATTTCTATCGAAGGTATCAACAGACATCTTTTGAAATTTTAAGTTAACCCTTTGCACTCTAAAGGTGACTGTCAGTCACCATTCGATTTGATATACCAAAATTATAAAGCCTTACACACAATATTAAACTCCGTTTAAACGTATCATGTGAAATATAGAAACAATAACTTTGTTCCTTAACTTATGTATGTTCTATCATTCAATTCGTTTCAAAGAATGTCGCCTATAACCTATTGGAAAATGTTGAATTTTTTTAGTCAAAAACTCCCAAGTGCAAAGGGTTAAAGTTATTTTCTCAGTTTAATCATATTTCCTCAATTGAATTCTGGATACCTTCTATAGTTAATTTTATAATCGTTATTGGAAAAGTTGAAAAGTCAATTCAGAATATACGATTAAATTTGGACAATAATTTTAAGTTAAAATATCAAAAGGTGTCTTTTGACATTTTCGGTAGAAACAGTGTTAAAGAAATAAGTACTGCTACAAAACCATTTGATTTTGCGTGAATTTTGATCATCGCGAAGCGTCGATTTGGCATAAATATGATTTGAAATTAATTAGCATTGGAGATATATTGGATTTATAGAACTAAATTCGATGGGAATAGCGTTGTACGTAATTGATACCATTTGATTAATTATATCAAGAATTTGAACTGAATATTCGTATGCATTCGAATAATACTGCTTCTATTCAAGTTTGAATATATTTCATTGATTAGTTTTATTTAGAATTATCGATCTTCTAATATTTCTAATAAGCTTGGTTCCATCGCTACTAAAAATACTGTTTATGTTAGGATGATTTATTGGATGCACAAAAAGTGACAACTTTCCCGTAATTACCCTGAAGATAAGAGGACAATTTGCACATCACTTCTCCATGGATCCAAACAATCGAGACTGCCTGACTCACGGCAACAGGCATGCAAATCGTGGTCACCAGGAGATCTGCTACGGACAGGTTCACCACGAAGTAATTGGTGACGCTGGAAATAAAAACGTCCGTTTTTGTTGTTCTTCATCGAAAACCATTCACCGTCCGTTGCATCTAGCATCCCACAGATGTATTATATATGTATATCTTCCGTTCTGCTCTAAATATCACTGGTATTATTAATTTCGGGATCGATATCGAAGGTTTCGATTCAATCGAAAGAACAAGCAACTTTTACGACGAAGGACCCTCTGCAAGTGAAGAGTTACTTGTCCGCGAGACAAAAGGTCTAACCTTTTCAGTGCCATACTTGGACAACCCATTGTCACCTTCTCTGGCTAATTTTCAAGCGAATACTATGTTCCCTTCTTAACGTCGCGCTTTGGAAATCCTCTTAAGGTTTCATTTCTATCCTTACTATTTCCTGGAGCTCTAGCATAAGACGAGCCTTCGAGAAAGAGAAATATCGATGTCTGGAGAACACAGACAACAATTGAGCTTTTGTATATAAACTGTTCAGAGGGTAGAATGACTAATTTATTCATTGTCAAAATGGTTAAGTCTGTGAAACAAATGATTAGAACATCAATAAAATATTTCTAAAATTTGAAACACCTGAAAAATGAACCTAATTCCATTATCGAGCTTCTGTTTATCAGATTTGAATATTTCCTGCTTGGCTTGTTATTTTACTTTTAACAATTTAATGAAAATGGAATTAGCTTCACTTTTTAAGTGTTTTTAGTTTTAGAAATATTTTATCGATGCTCTGATCATTTATTTCAAAGACTTGAATATTCTGACAATGAATAAATGATTTTTCACACAACAGCTTATTTGACTTGTTTCATGATTCTTTACGCAAGGCAAATGTTTCGTTTTGTCAAGCTTGACTTGCGAGGCAAGTGTTCACAAGAGAAAACGATAGACACGCAAACGACAAGTGAGGTAAACTGTGCGGTGCATTTGTGTACGTAGACATGTAAATGCCGTGGCCATGTAGTACTCTCCTACTATTCTTCTTCGTCCCTGGCTTGAAGGTAACAATAAGTCTTCAGCTGTTCTCCGCTGTATCTTCAACTCGCGCGACCGTGTAGAGGGAAACCGCAAACAAATCGTTTCAGGAACAACCTAACGTGCACTTCGTCATAAGAAACATAAGAAGATCAACGGTGTTTCGCTTAAAAATATAGATCCGATGAAATCTAGATCTCTCACAAAGAAGGATAAAGACGAAGTAATAATTCCTACTTCACAAATAAACACCCCAACGGCGCGCCTCTACGCACGAACTTGCATAACAAGCTGAAGCCCGATCGTTTATTTGCACGATGCTTTGCACGTATCTGAAATAAGCAAGCTCCTCCGTGTTTCTGAATCCTAAGTTCGAGAACGCGCGGGGTGCATTTTTGGCTCTGTCGCGATGATAATACGGCCGCAACGCGGGAGAATCCTGGATCCACTGAAACTCCGTCGGCGATTCGTTTCATCCAGTTACCTAACGATCGACCGTCGCAACGGTTCTATTTATTTGCGAATAGTTACGTCCCGCAACTCTTCTATATTTAAACCGGCACCTTCTATCGGGAAAATGTAATCCACAGCCCATTGTTTACACGGAAGTGCGCCCGCGTATGTATTCGCGTTCGCGTAACGCGGCGCGCTCATGTGTTATTACCATTACATCCCCAGTTAATCAGTAATCCGAGCATCCTAATTAAACGTTCCTTGGAGACGATCCTTCCCGCCTTCTACTTCGACTTCTTTCACGGTGAAACTGGGTCGCGAAGAAGGGGACGAGAGGAGGACGCTTGTCACGACAAATGACCGGCGCCGGTAAATGAATGACAATGGAAGATGAAATCCGTGCAGACTCGCTCGCGACATTTAACTTGCCGAGTCCCGTTGGAGGAAATAAGTACATACCTACTACATCAGTCTCGCGCTTCCTATATCGATTTCCCGTTAAAAATTCAAATACAACTCGAAGATAACGGCGTCAGCTTTGATCTTACCGGGGTTAATTCGGCTGACCTTGCAGACGAGTTTCGCTCACAGTTATAATTAACTCGATCGAAATCGATCCCGTTTTCCTAAAAGCAATATCCTGATGATAAGTCAGACCAGGCTGGCGGCTTTCCTAATCAACAGCCTATACATCCGATACCGTTTCAATCGTCCCGTCGCCGCGTAATTTAGTCAAATCTCTCCTTGATCCGTTTCGAGACGTCTCGCTCAGTGTACCTAAGTTTAAATTACTTCAAAGTTATCCAGTGTCTTATCGGATACGCCAGCCGGCAACGACGTGCGGGAGGCTGTAAAGCGCCCTGTTATAGTTGTTCGGGATTTGTGTGGATAATATGTAGAATGTTTCGTAAAATGTGAGATTCATTGTTGCAAAGAAGGGGTGCTAAGAGAATGTGGAACGTTTGTATAAGCATGAGTTCTATTTGCTTGGAATTGTTCGAAATGGCTAGTTGTCTAGGCCACGTCAGTTCTTAGGTCTTCGAGCAAATCAAGGAATTAAATGTAGATACCTGAAGAAACATTTTGCTGTGGAATCAATTGTACTAGCATAATATATTTGAGGATGAAAATGAACTATTGAAGTATGAAAATGTTTGTCGCATACAATGTTAAAGACTGCACAGATCTATGTAAACCTTTTCAATGATTCTTCTGCCTTCCTTCAAACATTCTAATGGATTTTAGTATTGATAAAGCATTCTGTACGTACAATGTTAGAAATGAAAACAGTGTCTTTGAAAAGAAATTCATTAACATTGTACTCACGATAAAGATTAAAACTCACCACTGCGAATTTGTATATACTAATTCTTCAATAAATAAAACAAAATAAAATGAAAACCTTTTCAAAGCTTATCATACTTCCAACCCTGTCAAATTTTAAGAATGTGCGCTACAAACGCATAAAACGTACAATCCAATTGCTACTATCAATAATTCAGATAGCAAAGAATATAACATTCAATTATAAATTAATCTGTCCTCAAGGCGTTTGTACTAAGCGATTCCTGTTAAAATCACTGCGAAACGGGGCTAGTCCTCGTTCTCCAATGAGAAACGACCTCGCGGCTCCGTAGACGGACATAAAACTGTGTATACATACCTGCGCATGTAGTGGTACTTGAAAACGACCGCGATGACGAGGACATTGGCCGTGACAGCGACGACCATCACGGGCACATAGAGGAAGATCAACAAGTAATTGGTCTCGCCCTGGAACTTGAGGTAGAAGTACCAAAGTATCTCGGTGGTGATGTGCAGATTCAAACTCTCGTTCGACAGCATGGCCGTACGATCGTCCGACAGATTGTAGCCCAGCAAAGACGTGGACATTGTCATGGAATTGTTGTTTGCGGTAATCGGCATGTTTGCTCTGACGAGATCAAACGTCGCCGGATGATTTCGATCTTTCGCGAAACCGGAATAAAAAGAGCGGGAATCGACTTCCGTCAACGGGCATGGATAACACCGAACCTTCCGGGTCGGCTTGTTGGATCAACTCGGCGGGGTGGACGAGATCAATCGCGTAATTGTTACTCGGAAGAAAGGTTCTACTCAAGGTTTTCGGTCCAAGACGAGGAGGAAAGCTCACGCCGCGGGCGATCCTTTTATTCGTTCCCTCCCAAATAAACTCAATTACTCTTGCCACAGGGGAACGACTTCCCCGTATACGCAATTGGCGAAATATATTTCGTCGGAATCGCCGTAATCGGGTCCTCACCTTTTTCCTCTCGTTACTTTATTATTCCATTCGATCCCCTAGACCAATCCTTCTTCACGGGCGAAAGAACCTCGGCTGGGAGCGTGCATAAAAATCAAAGCCCGCATTCGATAAGGTGGCCAACACTTTCTGCAACTCACGGAGGATCGATCGTTCAGCTGGCCGAGATTGATCCGCGTGTAACGTGCGGCAGGACATGCATGAAGTGTCGGCGAACAGGCAGAGAGGCCAGCCCCTTTGTTAACTCGGGGCGCAAAATTAGCGAACGTGATTAAGCACGGCGGCACACGTCACTCGAAAGTATCGACGATCGAACCGTAATTAACCGAGAATGTAATTGCAGACTCTCGCGATCGCTCCGAATTAATCGAATTCAGGGCACCTTGAATCGAGCTGACGAACTGGCGCAATGGTCGCCGAATTGTTCCCATCAATGGAAGGGATGGGACCGGTAATTTTTATTCCTTTTTCCCTCGGGCGGCCTATGTCACGCACGGCCCGAGCTGTCAGTGGCAGGACTGAACACCGTAGACCAGCATCTAGTGCAGGTGCACCCTGTCATCGACGTCGAAACAATTTCGACATAAACAATTTCCTTGTTTATTCGACCCGGTCGGCCGGTGTGAAAATTTTGTACAAATTTTACTGAAACCCGTAAACAACGTGCTCCGGAAACAAACGTATCTCCGACGGCGAAACAACGAAAATAGGTTAGGCCTTGTCAGCTCGTTTTCCTGTACGCGCGCGATACTTTCATAGGGAGCATGACATAGGGCAAGTGAAACTTTTCCGCCCAGATGCGGACCGGCAAAGGGAGACAAGCGAAATTGCTGACATCAAGTACTTATAAACGCCCGGGGCTGCTCAAATATCTGTTGCACAGGTATTTCCCGTGGCACGGACGTTTCTCACGCGTTACGCGCGGCCACACACACACCGTTCAGACGTGGTTCGCTGTCGACGAAGCTTTCAAAGTGTCTCCGCGAGCTACGCGTTATCTTGACTAAATATTTGCTTCCTCTAACACCGAAAACCTCTGGTCACTCCCCGAAAAATATTGAGCAGCGGAGCGCCGAGCACATTATTCCACTAATGTGTTGCTGGTTTGTTGAATTAATCGAAAACATCGAAAAGTCACCACGATTATTGGGTTAATTTTTCTTAAACAATTGTCTTGTTTCTTTCTTGTATTGCGTTAGGTTTGGAGATTTCCGGGAAAGAAACTTTGTGCACGTGTCATTCGAGATTTACGACGATTTTCGATGAGGATCGAGCTGGACGCGATCGAACCGTGTTCTTGCCGGAGCGAGAATATTCGGAAGCGGCGCCACGATAAACTGAAAGCAAGAATCGCGGCTCCCGCCGGAGCTCTTGAAAGCATCAGAGACGTGGTCACCGCTCGCGCACGATCCTTCGAGCGCGCCTGCGTTCTGTACCTCTCATCCTCCTCTCTGTACCTTGATTCCCGTGCCGTGTGCTTTTTTCTCCATCTACAACAACACCTCGGAAAGTGTCGATCCAACTTGATCCTTCGATCTATAACGCATAACGGACTTCATCGCTGCCGGAGGAGCTGGATGACGCTATGCGGACTAACGTACTTTCCCTTTTCAACAATTAGGGTAATTCCGAGGTAAATAACCTTATTTTCTTTGAAACGCATTTAAACGGAAACTGAAAGAATTTGGACACCAGATTTGATTTCGAAACAAACTTTAATTACTTTCTTACAAGATGGTCAACAAAAATTGAAGTTACATATGAAGAAACATTAATTGTAATAATATTTATATTATGTAATATAATCATTTTAATTGTTATGATAATTATTTATACAAGATGATTAAAGTGGCCATCTCTCCCATACGTAAAATCTGCTGACTCCCTCTTCACGCCTGATGCTTGTTTGTTTCAAACCTCTAATGCATACAAGGATTGTTATGTAAATGATGAAGACAAACTGTAGCGATATTGATTTATGGATGATTGTGTGAAAAGGTTGATGATTTTTTGATGAACCTGTTTAATGTCGGATAACTTTTATAATTTATTACTGAATATTCATTACACATGAAATATGAATGAAAGGCGTGGAAATAATGTATAATTAATAGACTACAGACCCTTACGCGAAATTATAATTCCTGAAGCAAGTTGACCCTTTAACTTAAGATTTGTTTAGCGACTGCAGTCGCAAGGGTTCGTTGTTAATAATTTATCGTTGGAGAAAGATATTATATATTCACTGTGGATGGTCATTTATTTTAACTGTTAAATTGTCAATAATATTTAAGGATTATGACAATTTACCAGTTACACTACAATGATATTTATTAACCCTTTCGCTACCATGGACGAGATATCTCGGCCCCACGATGTCAAAGAAACGGTGCTATGAACGAGATATCTCGTGTACCTTTATTATTGATATGAAGTGTTTTATTTGAAAATCTAACACGAGTAATCGATTTTTACATGTCACCATTGGTGGAAGGTGCTTAAAGAGGATACATATAAAATACTCCGTAACGAAAGAGTTAAATATAATTTAAAATCTCTATTATAAGTCTAACATTAAATGTAGAGCAAGAAGCTAAAAAAGTAGGATATAAATAAAAATTTATTTCTTTACTTATACAGTGTAGTAAACCGAAAGTATAGTAACAGTGTTCTTAAATACTTTCAAAATTTCCTGTATTTTATATTTATAATTTAATCATTAATAACTACAGTATCGCTAAGTGCTTCCTTGTAACATGCAAAAGTAGGTTGAACATTTTTACAAGTTAATAAACCTATGCCACATGAAAGTGAAGTTTTAAAATTGCTGATCTAACTGCCTGACGTAATTTAATCGGATTTTAATATCTTATTATTCAGAATTAATAATTTCGTCTTCGTATTACAAAATTAAATTACCTACGTAGATAATTGTCTGAAACACTAAGTGAAATATGAAACAAAAATAAATTCCTAGACATATTTCAAGCATCCTTACGCATTAATCCATTTTAGCAAATTACATTCATACACTCTCTATTATTATTATAATTATGGAGTTTAATTACTCGCTCAAATATATAAGCACAAACACGCGTTACAACGTCAAACAAAATTACTCCGATAATGGAATTCATCAGAATTAAACAATATCATTAAATCCAACCCCATATGTCATGCTACTGGGACACTCATCAAGCAAAATACTTTAAGCTGCAGGAAATGATAGATGACAGAATTTACGGTTCCTGTATAGTCCGATCTTCGTTGCGTCATGCTGATGTAAAATTATATGTAAGTTTGAGTCGCATCTGAACTGCGAAAGCTTAATGCGTTCAGCATGAACCGGTCGACATGTGGGTCGAAAACTATCTCGCTCAATGTCCGCCGATTGTACGACGAATCTCGGTTGAGCAATTGCATCGAACTTCTGTAAAGTTTCTTCGCAGTTCTTAGCGAGAAACGCGAAGATAGTGTCCAGAACAGTTGCACGTTTTAATGTGTACTTTTGAACTTCCGAGTGTCTGGCAACCATTAGCAACTGCGATTTGTTTATACCTATTCATCTTGTTTCTAGAAACGAATGTATCCGCACATTATTCCTTCCCTCGTCGTTCGTTATCGAACTTGCTTTATTAAGTCGTTCTTCGTTATAGCGAGAGGCAAACCCGTAGGAAAATTGCAAATAACTTGTACCAGGCGTCTTATCGGCGCAATGAAATCTTGTCTTTGCTAAATAAGAGAAAACGGTGGGTCGAATAGCACCCGACTGTTCGAAGAGTTGCGGTACGGTTTGGCAACGCACGAATATCTTCACAGAGGATGGACGCGAATTTCACGCGCATTCTATTACAGCAAGCCAATCGCTTTGATGTACAGGTGTAGTTTGATGTCAAAGATTAATCGATATCGTATGGAGCCAATAAATTCTCTTGTTTCGCGTGTATTTTATCACGTTTGCGTTTCCCCGCACTTCCGATTGCCCGGATCCGTCGCGACGCTTAACAAACAATCACCAAATATGTTGTCATACCTGAAACGATCTGCAAACACATCAACGCGAAATTATTCGATAACTGAGAGAGTAACTATTTGAATAACATTCCAGTGTTAATTAAAAACCCTCCAAAATCCGCAAATTGTCTTCTAAAATACGATCTGCGTCCATTTCGAAATGATTTTACTATAGAAACTCGATTATTCGAACACGTTGGGAGACAAGTCTGTTTGGATAACTGACGGGTTCGACCGATAGAGGCTCAGCAACTATTTTTATCTCCTGATCTTATTCGTTCCGATACAAGAGCTCGATCCTTGGCGACGTTCGTATAATGCAGTTTGTTTATATATTTGATTTTGTTTTGTTTTTGACATATAGAACCTCACTTAGTCTCACAGTTATGCGAACGTGTACATGTTTTGAACGCACATATATATATATATAGTTGGAAGATGACTTGATGTTTAGCAGAACAGTACAGGGGCAAGAGGTGTCTTTTTAGTTTACAGTTTTACTGTTGTGATGCGTGTAATCGTATCGGCGAACAGCATATTAATGATCGAAAGTATTAGTAATTAGGAAATGGAACCAACTGAAAATTAGGTGGGAAAAGATAAAAACCGATCATCAGCCGCATTCCTCAGCCTAGCTAACGAGTGATCTCCTAGCAGTACATGTATAGTACATGTACGTGTTCGTATAACTGAAAATACGCTTAGCAGTAGTTTGAATAATAAAGTTCAGTTAAGAGCTCATACATTAACACTAAAGCTACTGAACCCTTAAATCGACTTTTTGAAATTCCTCTATGGAAACTCTAAGAGTCTATTGAATTTTTAATTGATTTACAATTCAGTTTGGATATAACTAAATCAATGTTTTTAATCATTTCTCACAGAAATATCTGTCATCTTTTTATTAATTAAAAAAAGAAGATATCAGGAATCGGTCACTTTGACCCGTCTGGTAGTTTCAGTGTTAACCATTTGCGGTGGTAACGAATTCAGAGACTGGGCAGGAACTCACGCGAAGAATTTTATCTTCACCTATTATATACAGACATGTACACTAATCTTATTTATTAATAATTTTGTACAAAGTGAAAAATTTTTAAATAATCTAGAATATGTAATTCAATATGACTGTCGACGTGTATAATATGTCGTTGTTAATTTTAGAACAAAAACATTACGACGTGCGTAGCAAGTCTTTCTAGCAGAAGTGGTTAAGAGGTTCGGGTAAGAGAGGTTCTACTGTATTCGAAATCTTACCGAGAGCAAAAGTGGCAGATCGATGCGTATGAAGCCAGCCACAGTGAAGAAATGCACCTTCCTGAGCTGGAAATATGCCGCTACCTCCAGGTTTTCCTGTAATTACACACGCTAAAGGAATCGATAAGCGAATGTAGCAGGCTGACAAGGAATGAATGGACAATAGGGGTATATTTAGTTCATTAACAGTGTCGGCTGTAAAGAGTATAAACGAAGTGAGTGCAATTAATTTAAAGCAATTAAGGATTGCATAGAATGGACATACGACATGGCAACATAATGATGATAGGAAAAGAACTTGTAAAATGTAACAAAAAATATGAGTTGCATATTCGTGACAGCTGCGAATTTCGCATTAAGCTGCAGTCACATTTTCCAAAATATTTTACAGAAACTGTGTTTGAAACAAATGCTGATAGCGTATACGTTAATCCTTTAACGGCTGGTATCAGGAAAATGTGACCTTCGTATCTCTTCTCTTTTCATTTACCAAAATTTACTCAAATTATATTTTTAATAATCTGTGTTCAGCCAAAAATGTTTCTAAATACTAAAACTAAAGAAATATAGCATTTGTAACTGAAATAGTAAATTTATTAGTTTCTAAATAGTAAAGTCCATTTCGCAAAGTTTTACCAGCGGATGATGAATTAAACTAGAAAATGATAATCAAAATGTTAAGTAATGTACCGTTGCACCTATTCTGATAAATGAACGCGAAAGAAACACCCACCTGAAGGAACACGCGCTTCATCGAAGCAGATGAGGACGTTGAAAAAATAATCTCGCCGATTCGATTGGCCTAAACAGATGCCAATGAGTTTTATTGTGCGAAAGATACAGCAAAATATTCTTCGTGTTTTAATGTATACCTTGCGCGACGTGTTGTGACAGACAGCAGTGATCAAGAGAAGGCTCCACGCGCAAGACATCACTACTATCATATCTCTGATGATCAATAACAAAGACGGCTTCAGAACGTACATCACGTAAAGTCTGGACATCGCGTTCACGGACAAACTGGAGATCCACAGCAGCAATTGCACCGCGTACACGGAATTGAACATCTCCGTGGCATTCGCTAGGGAGCAATGTAGCCACCATATTTGTTGTAACGTAAAGGGTACAGTAAGCCGGTTAGACGTAAACAGTTTTCCTTCATCTAGCATATAAGACGAAATAATATCGCATTAAATAGATTTCCGCTAAACAGACGATTAATCTTTTCACAACAATGAACGAAATATCTCAGTTCCATGATATTATTATACAATGCTATAAACGAGATATATCGTGCATCTTTAATATTGATATGAAGCGTTTTATTTGAAAATCTGACACAAGTAATCGATTTTTAAGACATGTCGATATTTTACATTAGAGCTTTTATGGTTTATTTTATATGGAATAATTGCAAGCATGGTGAAATACATAATGTGGCGGAACAATTTTTACGAAAATATCTGGTTTCCTTCTGTCGGTCATTGTTTTTGTAAACTATACATTCTATTGTTGAATGAGATTTTTTTCTGTGGATTGTATTTTTGTATATTAAATCTTCTATTGATAGGCGAGCTATTTGACGCAATGGAAGTATTTTGCGATTTTCCTATAGTGTTTACAATTCTTGTCATCCACCAGATTCTAATTCTGTAAAAATAAAAACTGTAATTCTGTAAAATATAGAGTATTTTATATTTATCATCTTAACACTTCGAATGCCATGGGGTCCATGCCAACTAAATCAAATCACTATAATTCGTTCAATTAAACAGTTACTATTTGAAAACATTTTTATATTATAAATAACATTACCTAATGCGATGACATTTAACAAGATAAACAAGTGCAATAAAAATAACGCAATTCAATTCAATTCAATTCAATAATTCAATATTATATCTCTTTTCATTTCGTGTATTTTGCTCTGTGAAATCGTGTGGCATTTAACGTGTTAAGCACCTTCCACCAACGATGACATATCTTAAAAATCGATTACTTGTATCAGATGTTTAAATGAAACACTTCATATCAATAATAAAAGTGCACGAGGTATTTCGTCCATAGTATTGTACAACGACATCATGGTACCGAGATATCTCGTCAATAGCATCATTTCTTCAACATCGTGGAACCGAGATATCTCCGCCAGTGTAGCGTTAAAGGGTTAAACATCGAGCAAACAATACGTGCCGTCATACGGAACATTATCGACCATCCGTTGTCAATCTGGGATTCCGTCATAATCAAATAGCAACCAGATTACCGATTTGGCAATGGGACGCGTGCAACAGTTCCAACGCAACGGCGTGCAAGTTCGCGGAAGACTGGCATCAATGATAATAAACAAACATGATCTCGCAAAATGCGTCCGTTGCAACGCAAAGGAAGTAAAACAAATCTAACGATCAATTGTAGATCCAGATACGTATCCGACCGGAGCTACAAACGAAGCTGCTGGAGATGTAAACGAGTCACTTCCAGCGCTTGTATATTTCAAAAATAAACTCACCCGCCGGGAATGTCAGTATATTGCAAAGTTGTCGAAATCTTTCTTCTATGAGGAATGAAAAACCGACGAATATCAAGATCTGCGTGAACACCGCTACGTCGATGATGACATACACAAATGCGTGGTACAAAGGGTGACTGGTTTCCACTCTAGAAAAGTACAACATCGCGTGATGGACGCGTAAGGTACGTTTCAACGCCAAAATAAACGGGTAATCGATCCGACAGTTGCTCAAGCTCTTATCGAAATCGTAGGTAC